TATCTCTGGAAAACTTTTAAGTTTGGTGAAATCACATATATTAAAACTGATTACCCCATCTTAGTATTTTTAATTATTAGATTAGTTTGTTTCTTGGTGAAAGCAATCTGTTACTCTGCAAGTAGCATGGGGCAATTCTCACTTTCATAAATGGCCTTTTTAATAGGGTAGACTTTGGAATCTAGTTTCCAAAAAAGTATTTTTACTCGGAATTTCTTTTAGGTGTAGAACACTACTAACCTTACTTCTACAATTGTAAAATCTAAATATTTCTTAGTTGTATTACAGTGGTGCCTAGATACGTCTGTCAACATTAAGTCCCACAAGTTCTTGAAACTGAACATTTATTTAGCAAGAGATCATTTCTGCATTTAACAGTTCCCCCCCCTAAACAAACCAGACAGATGGGAACAAAAGCACATTAGAAAACAGGTGGATTTGTTCAGATTGGCAATGTTGAAATCTGGTGTTGAAATCGGAGCTGTTAGGTGCTGGTCTGTCTTGTCAGGTGAAATAGGGTGCCTCCTAGTGTTACGCCCTTGCGTAGAGAATTGTTGCTTGTAACCTACTTGTGGTGTTAATTACAGACCTTTGGACATACCACAGTAATGTATTTTTGTGTCGTGCCTTCTTGTAGATTCAGGAGAATGAATAATAATTTCCATTTGTTTTTTGACAAAGTATTATCTAAAAGTTCCTAACTGTAGGCTTCCAAGCTGATGCCAGAATACCTGCTGTCTCCTGGGGAAGGCCATCTTCTTGACTGATCTGTGGCAAAAGTGGAAATTGGTCATGCTGGATTTGAAATTGCTCTCACTTCATTTCTGATGACTCTATTCTGTGCATGTATGATTCGTATGATCAATAATATTTCATGTGGAACATTTACTTGGTAATATGTTTTTATATTTTGTTTTACATTACTAATCAACTATAGTGTAAGTGGTACATGAAGGTTTTTTGCTGGAGACTTTCAGGAAGAGTCTTTTATGTAACCATCTAATTCTGAATTTAAATTTAAGAAGAATAAATGAAGTGTTTTAATATAAATCTGTCTTCACTACAGACTAAATTTGTTTTCTGCCTATTAGCAGTGAAATTTAATCTTTAATATGTGTTTAATATGCTTGTGATATTTCAGAGACACAACTGACTGATATAGTCCTTACACGACATATTTTCTAATAGTAATGCAAATGGGTGTACTGAATGATTTCTTCCCAAAATTATTTGTCATACAGGAGAAGAGGAAACAGTTGGGTAATTTGAAAACATTTCAGCTGCATAATATATGAGTAAAGAGTAACATTATGTTGAAGAGATAATGCTATCCTGGATGTTTTCAAAACATAACATAGGAAAACACATAATTCGTTCCGTGTTCAATAGTATATATATATATATAGATACTAAACCAAAGCAGCATATTTGTATTTTTTCCAGATAGTTTGCAACGTAGTTTTCCCTGATGAAATTATAATTAATGTTCTATGTTTTACTCTCCCTTCCTTATCCTTTTTTTTTTTTTTACTTAGCTGATTTCTGAATGTTTCCCTTTATTCCTGTGATCTTTTCTTCATAGCGGCACTGTCTCGGTGAAGCTTTGCATAAGTCTATCAGCAATGTAAGTGATTTGCACTTACAGCTTGTGAACAGGGCATGTTTGCACTAATAAAACTGCATATCCTATAGTACTGCTTTAAAGCTTTAGCCTATGAAACAATACATGGTAATACTTGAGAGGAGAACGTTTGCCGCTAGTTATCAAAAGCTTGTGTACCGCATCCATTCATCTGTGTAAATGTGTATATATCCCTGGACATCAAACACTATGTACATGGTCATAATATAAGCAGCATTTTTATGTCATTGTTTAAGCAAGCAAGCTTGTGGGCAGTGCAAATGTGTATTGCAGAGCTTTCCTTAAAGCATGAGGTTGATGTATTATAATTTGCAGTTTTGCAGTGCAAGTCATAATTGTAGCCAAAATATTCTTTCTTTCTATACTTATTTATTAATTTACTTATTTATTACATTCTTACCAATGTTTTTAGTGTCCTGAAAACCTTGGATAAAAACACTGACATTTCAGAGAATAATGAATGTTTAGAGCTGTTTTCTTTTGAGTACTCAGTTCAGGACTATATATAAGGGATGAGCCAAAGACTTGCAAAGGGAGGCACTAATGTTCTCAAAATTGTGCCCTTAAGTATATCAGTTTATGTACTGAATAATGAGAATAGTGTTAAATTATGTACTCTTCTAAAAATAACTCAGATTTTTAATACTTGATGTACTTTCAACCAAAAAAAGAAACCGAACCCACGTATTATGAGAAGGGTAGACTAATCCGATTTGCTTGTTAGAATCACTTAATTCTCATTGTCCTTTATTTTCTGTACAGTCTATTGATGCAAATAGGCATCTCCAGACACTGACTCACTTCAGGCTCTGGTTTTGCAGTCACTTTAATCTGGTGGAAGTATGAACTGCTCTTGGGAAAGGTATTCCTGATCTCTTCTAAGATGGCTTCCTGGCCAGATGTCAGACTTATCTTGATCATCTCAATTAAAATGTTTCCTGCATTTCCAAGAAAGAAATTGAAATTGTTTTGCCCTTGGCTTATGCTAAAAACGTTTATAAATTTTATAGTGAGAACTGTCAGAATTTGGAGCAGGACTTTAAGTGAGAGACGGATAGAACTTCAAGCAAAAATACATTTTTCCATGTCATCTTAATAGAAAATTGGCTAAGATTCCATGGTTGACTCCATTTGAATGTTACTATTGAAAGGCTTTTTAGAGTATAATGTTTATATTACCTGAAATTCTGCAGGACTGAACAGGACTTTCTCCCAGAAAAGTTCTGGGGCTTCTGAGGAAACAAGAACTTCACAATATGAGAGGAATGTTTTTGTATAAGTAACTGGTTGAAAAATAGGTATGAAATACAGTGTTATCAGCATGCAGGTAGATTATCGGTGAAGTTATACTGATGTTCAGCGTATTTTCTTTTTGCAAGCTGTTTGTGAATAGGTAAAGTAGGAAAGTTTGCACCTTATAAAAAGTTATTTAGAGTGGAAAGGGCAAAGACTGTCTGGAGAGTTACAGAATAGCTGTAAAAAGTCAAGGGACTGAGCAGTAAGAAAAGGGGACTGCTTTTGGCTCCTTTCCATTACAAGTATTAGAGGTCATCATGTCCAAGTGGTACACCTATATGAAACTTACCACAGGACACTGGATACTAAAAGCTTCTATAGATTCACATAGTGATTGTATTTAATTAATGTTTCCATGAATTTACCCCAAAATACCTCTTCTGATGTAAAAAAGATTTCTGGATGATCGGTATCTTCAAAGTCAAGATCCCTACCTTTATGCCTTGGTTTTGTTTACCCTGGGTAACCTGGGTTGGCCATTTCTGGAGGCAGAACCAGAGATCAGACAAACCTTTGTTCTGACACTGTACAATTTGTGTGTGATGTTTATATTTTATGTACTTAGTAAAAGATTTTACATGAATAGTACAGATTACAGAAAGTAGTATAGGCCTTCACTATACTCCTTCAATTGTAACTAATCTGTTTCAAAGGTACCTGAAGTAAAATACTGTTGATAAAGTACACTTAGAAGGCAGAGTATAAATGCCCAGACACAAAGACCTGGTGAATTTGAAATGCAATGAGCCATGCTCATTTCATTCAAATTAATTTGCTTATTGTGTTTTAGTGCTAATTTTCTTTTGTGTAGCTTTTTTTCTTTCAAATCTGCTTAAGCTGTGCCCTTCTGAAAAAGAAAAGCCATATGTTTGACATTAATGTTCATGCTGCAAGTTGTCCTCGGTATGCTGCTATTAATTTTTTGTTACGTGGTGGGTGTTAATGTTCTGTAAATCAAGAAATTGATGTGCAATGTAGTTATTAATTTGTAATAATTAATTTTATGATATGCTGAATCAAATGACACTATCAGACTGTCATTTATAATTCAATTATATGTAATGCTCTGAGGCTTGAAAAAGTATCCTTACTGATTCAAATTCTTCATTTCATGGCAGTTTTATTTTTCCTTCTTTTGAGTTACTGTAGCAAAATTCTCTTTGGTTAAATCTTGTTTTTAAAACTGGAGGGTTTATCGCTTGTGTTTGTCTCAAAAGGGAATACTGGTTTAGTATTTTCAGTCTGAAAAGATGCTGAAAATATGCAAAAAAGATTTGAAGAACAAATATTATTAATATAATAACATTAGTATAAAATGTGACTTTTTCAAGGATTACAGAGCATTCTAATGTATTGAAATGCTTGTTGGGTGAAAAGCATAATTTGTGAAATCACGTATTTCTAAGAAAATAAGTATTTGTGTCTCAGATTACTTAGATCTTGAAAACCAGCAGAGAAATCACTCTCATAGCATTACTGAGCTAAGAAAAAATGTGTGTGTGTGGAAATCCATCAAGTGTAACATTTTATTTGTGATGTAGAGTGGTATGCTACCATTTCTTTTTAAATAAAAAAACTTATCAGTAAGATAGTACCATATTGTATCAAAAGATACAAAAATCCATCAATCTGGATGTCACAGTCTGTCCTTCCCTGTCAGCTGCAGGATTTTCCTTACAGAACTGATGTGATATTCCGCTGAAAATAGTTTAACAATCAAGTGTTTGATTTCGAACCTTGATAGTGTCATTTTAATTGAACTTCATGCAAAACCTAGAAATAAATTTTGATTATTGAGCCATGAAAAATTGTGTTATAGGTAGTGCTATAGTGCAATCTGACACATAAAGTAACCCTTACATAACTATTTAAAGCTAATTATTATATCTCTGAGATATAATATTAACCACAAGTTCAGTAGATGGATGGCATTGCTTGTCTGTCTTTTAGTAAATGTTCTGGCTTTAAAATTTCAAGTGTTTTCTTCTTTTGAATGGTTTTTCTTCGGAGTTGATGTTAGTATGAATGACTAATGGATATTTGCTGTTCTGTTGTGGGTTAGATCTCCTTACTGAAGCAGAATCTGGAGATGCAGCTTTCCCAGTCACAGAGCTCTTTGCAACAGCTACAAGCACAGTTCAGTCAGGAGCGACAGAGGCTGACTCAGGAGATCCAGGAATTAGAAGAGGAGCACCAGCAAAGGCATAAGTCACTTCAGGAAGCCCATATCCTTGCCTTTCAAAACATGGAAGAAACAAAAGAGCAAGAGCAAAAGGCATGTTTATCTGAACAAATTGCCATTTCAGCAATTTGTGTAAAGTATCTGCATAACTACTAAGTTTCCTTTCAGCTGATGTCCGACAGTAACATTTTTGTTCAGCTAAAACTGATTAAGACATTTTGAAAAGCATCTCTAATACTGGCATTGTTTCATGTCTTGCTTTAAACTCTACCAGTATATGCATATACATACACACACATATATATATGTGTAAAATTATCAACACATGTTGCTTTACAGTAGTTTGACATAGTTATCCATAACATGATATTCTAGTTATGATTTGCAATAGGTTTCTCTGTATTTTCCATTATAGTTAAATAATTTCACATTTGTTTCCTGGTATTTCCTGTCAATTTACTCCTTTTATAATATATTTTTGTTATGTTAAAAATTGTGTAAACTATGTTCTGCAACTTGCAGGATAGTGTTCATGTCCAGAACAGTATCACACCCAAGATATTTTTTTAAAACCTTGCCTAAACCAGCTTTAGGACTGAAATTTTGGCAATGTATAGTACTTAAGATGGTGTGTATCGTAAGCTTTTTTTAAAAATTCAGATCTAGAATGTACCTTCGCAATCAGTTTTCCCATTGCCTCCACCTGATGGGGACAAAAGTCCCCAAATGCATATTGTGTGCACACTAAACCCATCTATGAATTGTACCTATCACATTGCTTGCTATTGTAAATATATCAATAGATTGCTGCGTTTTTTTTCTCTTTTCCAACTGTGAGCAGAACGAGGGTTTGTGCACAGGTAATCTTGATAACCATCAGCCACTACAAAGAAAAAGCATAGTGGGATAACTTAGAGAAGAAAATAAGAGCAATATTTGTGCATTTTTAACAATTTTTGGAGTATGCTGATGCCTGTTTTTTGTTGCTAGTTCTTTTTTGTTTAATATTATATAAATTCCCTAAGCTGTTATGGATATTTTTTTTCCAAATTTGATTTCATAGGAATTAGAAGAACGTTTGCAACAGAAGCACTCGGAAGAACTTCAGGCACTGAAAGAAACACATAAGCAAGCCATGGAAGGTTTCAAATTGGAGATGGAACAGGAACTTCAGACTTTACGATTTGAGCTGGAGGATGAAGGAAAAGCTATGTTAGGTATACTACTTTCAAATTGCAAACAGGTCCAAAACCATTATTTCTACTCATACAAACATATATGCACATGCATGTATGTATGTGTGCGTATTGTAACACTGTAGTGTATCCTCTTAAAATCAGTATATGTTTTAACAGGTAACACCACATTGTTCACTTCTGAAAAATCTTATCCATAAGTTTTTGGGGTTTTGGTATTTTTTATTTCTTTTTGGAAGGACTAAGCAACCAAAGCACATGATGGAGAATGTTTCAGAAAGCAGCAGGAATAAAATGACAGGACAGTTGCTTGGCTGATGTAAGCTGTGTGTGTTTCCTCAGTGGCAGTATTTGAGGGAGCTGGACTGTTATTGTTAATCAATGTAAACATTTGCAAATCAACTGTTCTTTCTGTTCACGGTAACTAGCTTCCTTGCGCTCAGAGCTAAATCATCAACATGCAGCAGCAATTGACCAGCTAAGGCACAACCATCAGCAAGAACTGGTAGCTGCCAAAATGGAGCTTGAAAGAAGTATAGAGCTCGGCAGGCGACAGGTAGGTGGCATTGCTGCAACTTACTGTAAAACTGCATAATCAGTATTCACTCTCTCTTAGCTGGAGGCAGGAACCCTTGTGAACAATCAACATATAATCCTTCAAGGTCAGCCAGCGCCAGCAGATAATGCATCCCTACTTGTTCACCTAAACTTCCTTGCTTAGCTTTTTCTTCCTTCAGCAAACTTCATTCAAGCCTAGTAATGTCTCCCATATCAAGGCACCTTCCTCTCAGAATTGTGTGGTTGCCTGGGAGCACACTAGACTGTGTAAAGTGCTGATTCTTACAAAGTACTGCTTGTCCTCAGCTGCCCTCAGGACTTAAAAAGGAAAAAGCTGTTTATCTCTGAAGCCTAAGTGATACAGCTGAGAAGTGGTTGCTTAAAACCAAATGATTCTTCAAACTCAGGAGGTACCCAAGTTGGTGGTTTTTTTTTGTGGGTTTGTTTTTTTTCAGGAGGCAAATTGGAAAAGATAAACAAACATCTCAATAAAGCAAAGGTGATCTAACATCTTGCAGCTGCTTCTTATAAAAAACACACTCAAAGCCCAAAACAAGCCCCCAAAGCCAGTATGAACTTCCTTTGCTTTCAGCAGCAAAGTGATTCACTCACTTTTATATTTCATTTTTCACTTCATGCACAATCAGTTTTTCCAGTAATAACTAAAAATTTAAAGCTTGATCTCTATTGAAAGGAAGCCAGATTCTTGGAAATAAGATGATCAGGAAATTACTTCTTTATTTGCCTATACAATAGGCTTTTTAGGATTAATTTACTGATAGCCCAGCACCAGGGAGGTGGAACAGTTTTAGAAGTATGTTAACAGAGGAAAGAGAGGAAACAAGTTTAGTTGGATATGGCCTTTACACAAATAGTCAACGGTGAGACCTTCTTTTTCTCTTCCCTGCTGGTGTGAAAGTGGCTAGAGGCAGAAATGTGGTGCTCACGGCAGGGAATGAAAACATGCAGGATCTGGGAGGATACAGATAGTTTCAGTTGTGTGTTGCTTAAGCCTAGAGTGACACACCTAAAGGAGATGTCAGAAAAAGAAGTTTAAGTTACAAGACTGAGTCTTTGATCCAGCCACAAATTCCATGTACTTTTGGCCTCTGTACAATGATCTGCTAAGCATAAGCTTTAGTTGTACTGAGGGCAAAGCAATTAACTGTGTTTTCCTGTGTTTGAATGCTCATCAGTTCACAGGGTCAGAGCTGAACTGGATACAGCGAGTTCTGAGCAGGATGATAATATTTGCTTATATTGATGATGAGCAGGATGATTATATTAAAAAATATTTAAATATGTGGGTATAAATTTTCCACTGCTTTTCTTACAACTTTAATATAGCCTTCCTATAGGGAGCTAGAGTTATTTTTAAAGGTCTATTCTTAAAGATGTCCTATAAAAATTGTACCTTAGTATATGTTTATATTTCCTGGGTGCCTGAAGGCACAAAACACATAAACATACACATAAAACTACTTTGAAATATCTGCTGATTTTCTATCTGTGCAAACTATATGGTCATCAATTATTGTGGAACTCTAAGAAGTGGAATAGATGGAAATGGAAAGCTGAAAAAAGGTCAATTTTATTACAGTCTTTTTCTAAACTGAGGAGATTCATTAATAAAACCATTGGGATGGGTTACAGATAAGTTTCCCAGATATTTGGAATTATGCAAAAAGAATTATTTTTATTGATTTAATGGACACAACAGAAATATTATGTGAACTATCGTCTACATATTCTGCTATGAGATATTTATGACGCTTATATATACCTAAATTAGGAGCCTTCTGAAGCACTTACTTGTGCAGGGCATATATCTTGAGTTATTTTGTCCCATTTGTAGGAGCCTGCAAAGGGGAAAACAGTTTATGCTGTGTGTTGAAGAGGTAGAAAGTCCTGAATGACCTGGTTCTTAGTGATGATACCTGTTTTTTTGTTGTATGTGTCATCAAAAGGAAAATGTGATGAGCTATAGAAACTTTTAATAGGCAATGACAGGTTTTAAATGTTCTCATAAATGGAAATTGTTTGTTACAAAATTAAGATTTCTTCTTTATTTGTACATGTATGCAATTAAAAAAAAAAAACAGTTTTAATTATAACTTGTGTCAGCATCAAAAACTGAAAAAAATTGTCCATTGAGTGGAAAATTCTGCTCAGCTGTTACCTCCCAAAAGCAAGTATTGTGCTTTTGAGAGACAAGTCTATTTAAAATACTTTTTGCTGCTGCTACTTATATCATAGGAGAAAGAATTTTTATGCCGAATATCAGATCTACAAGATGAACTGAGACACCGAGACCATCATATAGCTGAACTGGACAAAGAGATTCTGCATCTTCATGAAAATATAAGTGCATTGACCAAGGAATTAGAGTTTAAAGGGAAAGAAGTTCTCAGAATACGCAGTGAATCCAACCAACAGATCAGGTGTGAATTTTTCTGAACAAAAATGTGCATTTTTACATGTACTGTTTTACTTAAGAGATTTTACCATTTTCAGCTTCTAATTTATCCTCTTAATCAAGTGATGTTATAGATCATGTAGTCATCTTTAGAAAATGCTGTGTCCATTAGTAGTTAAGTTAGTGAATATTACCATACGGTGAAGCTGTACCTCAGTGATACATTTTGGCATGTTTTAGTAACAGGGTTAGGTTTTGCTTTTTGGTTTTGTTTTATTCATTGTTTCTTTATTTTAAAAAAGCATTAAAGGAGATGCATTTTCCATGAAAAAAGCTAGAAGGTTGGAGGACACTAAGTAGTGGAGTTCGATTAATCAGTAAATCCTTCTGTGTTGTTTGATACTGTGTAAAAGCCATTAGAAGCATGGCAGGAAATCATGATGAGCAAACAAGTCTGATTTTAGAATAACTCTCTTTTTAACAAAAAATAAATTAAACAGGATGCATGAGCAAGATTTAAGCAAGAAACATGAGAAAGAGCTGGATGTCTTGACAGCAGATCACATCAGAGAGAAACAAAGCATGATGGCAGATTTTAATAAGACCCAAGAGCTGCTCAAGGAAATTAATTCAGCTTTACAATTTTCGTAAGTTTTGTTGCATTAAAAAAATTGTGTGTAGCTCCGTTGATTGAATAATTCATTCTGGTGTCCATAAGTTTCTGAAGGTATTGCAGAGATGCAGATGTGCAAAAATCTCAGTCAAGTATGGGGCCTAACCTTGCATTCTTTAGGCAACACAATTCTATAAGCTTTAGGAGAATTTAGTACACTGTTAGGGATTTGAGACAAAAACAATGCAAGTAGGAAAGATATTAAATCTGTGCAGTTTGTAGGAAATTGGAGAAAACATTGTTTCAAGTGCTTTTTCTCAAACTTTAATACATCTTTCTTGAGAACACAAGAGTTTCTTCAACAGGTTTATGAGCAGTATTTGCTATTAAGAAGTCTGATTATAGCATGAGTGATGCAAACATTTTCAGGTTTGCTAGCATAAGGAAAATTAGTGTCTGAAATGGATTATGTGAGCATAATTATAACAGCATACTTAGAGTGTCTCTCAGTGAAAATGCCACCTGGGGTTAGACCACCTCTGGGCAAAAATGCCTCTGGGCATGTCATCTAGCCAGTGTTTTCCTGTCTTCCACATCTTTACCTCTTGTTTGTGATACGCCATTTTTGGTCAGGGTTTCTGGCTGAGGTTCCATAGCACATTGAAGGCTTCCTGACACAAAATTGTCACTGAAGCATTTCTATTTGCAGTATAAAAGATTTATGGCAGAGAAAATAATTGGTCCTAAGTATACGATAGAAATCTTTTACAGTTAAATATCAATGTAAAATGGACAATAAAGCCCAAATGGATCTAATTCTTTCTTGATGATGAGCAATCAAAAATTGTCTTCAGATAAGATGGGTATAAAATTCTCGTTCTTACTCTCTTGTAATCATCCAGATGCACACTGTTGTGCCCTGATAAATATGATAACTTGCCCTTTGGTAAATTAGGCATACCTCTTGACTGCTGCATTCATCTTGTACAAGAAACATGCCTGCAGGCTGCCACCAGAACTAGGTTTTGGAACTGTTTACCCCAACTTTTTCTCCCATGAAGTTGTTGGGTTTTCAGTGTCCTGAAATTTTCTGAGTTTAGTTATTTTTCCCAGCTCCTGGTTCTTGCTCAACTTAGGACTATGAGGAAGCAACCACTGGCCTAAAGCGAGCAAATGTTCCGCTCTGCCTTTCGCTGTGTTCTCTCTCTCCTTAAACTAAAGCAGGGTACTGCCAAAACAGGAAACAGTGTTAAAAAAACCTCACAAAGTAGTTTTATGCAGCCGTTCCTTAAGTAACTCTTTCTCCAGGTTCAGCCTTACGTAAGGCATGGCCTTGTGAACATTTATGAAATGGAGAATCTCTCTTACAGTAGTTGAGAGTGGGTATCATTAATTAGGCTCTACAACCAGAGTCTTGAAATTACATATTATCTCTTTGAAACATTAAAACCCCACAATTCTCTGAAATATCTGAAAATAAAATGACAGCTGTGTGTAACCATGCACTATTCTCTGGGGATCTGTATACAATAGCTTAAGCCAGCAGAAAATGTATACACAAAATTAACCCAGCTGAGCATATTTCTGTTCTGCTGAGTCAAATGCCTTTTCTGCAAATAAAGCCATGTTGTTCACATTCATGTTTTATGTAAATACATTATATAATCTACTCAGGTTACATACAGGTTACTTGAAGATTATAAATGTAATTTAATGTGAACTGTTTCTTCAGATGTAACTCAGTAAAAAATCACATAGCTGCTTCTGAAGGGAAAACATTTACCTGAAGTAAGAAAATATGTCTACTTCTGAGTGTCTGGTGGAATTAAGTCTGAGCTGATTTAGACACCTTAAATTCATAGATTTTTTGAGAGTTTGGGACTTCTTTTTTTTTTTTAATAATTCCTTTTTCATTGTATTTGTTAAATTTCCTGAATCTATTCTGATGCTTGGTTCATGAATCCATGCGAGAGCTGAATATGTGAGAAAAGTATTTTAGTAATTTTCTTTTGAACATTATTTAGCATCATGAGCATTATATTTATGTTTTAAGGAGACGCAACCATTTTAAATCATCCTGTTCTCAAAAGTTGTTCTTCCAGAAGAAGCAAGGGTATTTATGTAGTTACTTGTACAATTCCTCTCTCAGTTGGCTTATTTCACTTCTCTCCTTTAATGCTTTTCCACCAGGCATTTAAAATTTCCTCATATTTTTTCAAATATTATTAATTGTTACATTTCTCTTAATCCAGATATCCCAATATCCAAGTGTTATTGCTTTTCTTTTGCTCATTCCTTTATTTCATCTCTAGTGTACTAAGTTGCCTTTGTGGAGAGGAATTATTTACCTATTAGTCTTTGCTGTTCTTGGATATCTTTGTTCCAGTACTTTCCACATGAACTGAGGAAGACTGTGCCAGCCTTGGCTGTCTATCCAATTTCTCCAGTCTCATAAGCATTCATTAAGAACAGTCATCTATTACAAAATATATATACTGTTTGTTTTCTTCATCAAGAAAGCAAATGGCCAGCTTTCAACATTTTTGTCAATATTAAATGTAAGACAATGTAGTCCCTATATTTTACATAAGAATCCATCTTAGCTATGTCACCTGTAATTCTCCTGTCTGTATGATAGTATTGAGCACCTGATTTTCAGTCTGACTTCCCAGAGGCCTTTTTTCAAACCTATAATACTACATGACCAAGAGGAATGCTAAGGTTTTAGACTTTTGCCCAGGTTATTAGTTACTTGAGCAAAAGTTATGGTCAGTGTTGAATTCATTTTTTTTCAATAACTAGGTAAAGCTGAATGGTAACATAGAAATTGATTTACTTCAAGGTTATAAGAAAACCATCTTCTGTTTTTTCTCCCTGAACAATTTTATACTAATCAAAGATGTGACTATTCACTCATCATTTTACACTGGATCAGGCTAAAGGGGGTATTCTTCTCTCCTATAAAGTTTAGAAGAAATGGAAGAAAAATATAAAAACAGAGAATCAAGACCAGAAGACTTGCAGCTTATTTCAGAACTGAAAGACCTAATTGCAGAGCGGGACCAACTCATAAAGAAATTGATCGTAAGACTTTTGTGCTCTCTTGGTTTAATATCTCAACATATACAAAAGTTAATCTAATTCAAAGTGTTTGAAATGTATTTAAAGAACCAGTCCTGCTAGCATGTTATTCGTGTTCTTTATCACATTACTCCTGTGGTTCTAATAACTCATAATGGTTAAACTAATTAGATACCTAGAGGTTTACAGTCAAGCATAATATCATATTACAAAAACATATTTCGGTATGACCTTGATAAGACGTCTCACATCTCCTGTCCTGAATTAAGCCAGCCATGTAAGCCATATAAGAAATAGTTTCCTCTGTGAGGTTTCTAAGCTTCCCAAATTCAGAGCACAACACAACAATCATATGAATCTGATTAGGTCCTGATTCAAAAGCAAGAAGGAATGAGGAGATCAGAAGTCAGCCATACTGAGTTTCCCAGTGCATAATCCATTAGGCTAAGCTCACTTTCAGGAACATATAACTGCAACAGAACTGCATAAATAGAAATTATTTAGATTATTGCATATAATAACATATATAACATTAAGTATAAAATGCAGGTTTTAGAGTTACCAATTTCTTTTAAAATGTAAACATAAATTTATTTGAGATCAGTTGTAGGCAGATTTGGCCGCTAACATTGAAAACGCATAAAAAGAAGTTTCTATTTTTTCTTCTTTTTAGGAAGACAAAAAGTTCTATCAGCTGGAGCTAGTTAACAGGGAGACTAACTACAACAAAATGTTTAATGCAAGCCCTAATGTTGGTGTTATTAATCCATTGGTCAAGGTATGTTCCATGGACTTCATTGCTAAAGTGAAGAAAAAGAAATCTAAACTTAGGATATTGTAAAAGAAGAAATATAGGTGTGTGTGTCTGTGTGTATACATAAATCACTCTTAAAAAACATGTTCAAAACAAGGAACATAGTTTTCCATTTGTCTCTGTTTTTGTGTAGGTTTGTTTATTTTGTGTTGTTAAGAGATCCATTGATATTGTTGCCCTGGCTTGCTGGACATGTATGACATAAACCAGTTCCTTCTCACAAAACTGCAAAATCAAAATGGAAAAGTGAAACAAAGGCAAGAGAGGGCTGGACTGTAGTGTATAGTGAAAAACAGTGATATCTGCGAACAGTGGTAGATTCCTAATTTTTCTTGGCTATTTTGGAAGGTGCAAGGGCAATTTCACTTTGCAGGTGGTGCTTGGGATGGAAAAGCATTAGAAAGGGAGAGGGAGAGAGGACACTAAAGGAAGAAAATAAAGGTAAAAAAAGGAAGAGTGTGAGAAGGGCATGGAATGAGTCTGAATGGAGAAAGACACAGTAATTCTGGAGAACTGAAGTGACAAAACAGGTATGAACTGTGGGGACAGCAGGAGATAGAAGTCAGACTCTAGCCTTCTCAGTTACTGTTACCGTCTGTACAAGTGACAACACTTCAGCAGCAGCCTTTTCCAGCTCTCTCATCCTGCTGAGTAGCAGCCAGTGAAGGCTACTGTACATGCAGGTGTAGTGCCTCCCTGTCACTTCAAAAGCCAGCATCATTTCTCCATGAGGAACATGTATAGACTGCAGTAGGGTACCTTAATTTTATGTCTTTTCACCACTTCAGGAGTAAGATTGAGTCCTCTGACATTTCCTTCCTCCTTGTGATAACCCATAGGTTGTTTCACCTGCATGGAAAGGGAAGAGATTTGTCCCAGCTGTAGAGGCAGAAGAACTCAGGAAGGTTCTGAAGCAAAGGGTAACCCAAGGGGCACAACACGAGCAGCTCAGATGCCCGAGAGCTCCAGTGATCAAGGTCCAGGCTCTGTTATCTGAGATCAGGCTGCAATTTAGCTAAACCTCATTGTAGTTTCACATCAGATGAGTGTACTTCCCACTTCTGCACAAACTCTGCTGTAAATTGTCAATATTCCGCTGTGCCTTTCAGCAGCCTAGCAGCTCCCACAGGCCTATATGCAGCTGCCTGACTTTTATGCTAACTGCATAAAAGACCTTAGCTTGGGCCCAGTAGAGACAATACCAGGATGGCTGGATACAATTTGAATGTTTTGTTTTTGTATGATAAAGGTTGCTGGAAAATTCTGAAAGTTTGACTGAGCCACTCTTTTTATAAAGATGTGAAATGTAACCATCAAGTATATATGCCTGTGTTTTGTGTGAAATCTGAAGCAATTGGGAAAAGTACATCATCAGATTTCCATGGTGATAATTCATATATTTTTATAATATGCTTCCATCACTTAAAACTGTTTGGACTTTAAAACTGTCTTGTATGCCGAAACATTTTAATCTCTCATTTCATGAGTTGTGGACTATGTTACTTTATTTTGTCAAAGCACATACTGTGTTACTGGAGAATGAATTACAAAGAAACTGAAAAACTCATTCTCTTTTATTTTTTGTGATGAAAAGACAGAACATGAGTTACTACAGGCTTTGCATATTAATGCAAAATTACACCCATTGCAGTATCCATTATGGCTTCTCTAATTTGTGCAATGGATCTGTTTAGTATTACATTGTTACATCTGAAGTTTCTTAATACTTTGCGTGAATTTCATGGAATTATACACACAATTTTGTCTCTCCAGATTTGACTGCTTCGGAAGCATAGATTGTTTTACAGAGAATAAGATAGAAACTGTAGGGTTTTTCTAAGCATTTATGTGGCTAATACACATTTTCCAAAAATGAGCCGCCTGTGGAGCAGAGAGATTTAACTACAGTGTGTTGAACACACCATGTTAATTACAGTGTATATTACCTTGAAGATGTAAAAAGACGGTTTTACATAGTTGGTTACTTTTACCAAATTATTTTTTTCCACCATAATGTTATTTCTTGCTTCTTCAGCTCCTACAGAAGTGAAGTGTATGGGGCAGTCTTGGTTTAACCCTTAGTTTGACGATCTTTCACTGTAATGCTTATAAGACTTGTTTTTTCTATTATAGCTTTCTCTTAAATCCACAAATGTGTCTCCAATTAGTAGCATTCACATCTGCGAACCCCAAAAAGGTCAAACAATGAAACCAAAGCTAGAAGAGAGAGCTAGAGAAGTACAAACAACAGGACTCACGTCTGCCTCTGTTTGAACTCATGCCCACCCTTGAATAGAGCAGCTCTCCTGTTTCAAGTGGAATTCTGGTGAAAAATGCTCTAGCAAAACAACATGAGATTCCACTTATTTTTCACTTTATTTAGTTCAAATTTGTGTAGTCCACAAGCCCTTGAGAGGTTTTATCCAAGATGCTTTGTTAGGGTTGCATATATGTATTTGAATGAAAGTATTTATTATATATTCAAATAATGCATAATTCAGGAGAACAAGTGGATCCATTAATTCAAAAATCCTATTTTTGGAAATAAGGTTTTTAAAATATTAATGTTTTATTGTGGACGTGGAATATTTGATAGAAGGTAGAAAGTACACATGGTCTCCTGTCACACAGCTGTTTTTAAAAAGCTATCAAATTCTTTGAAGCATCCTTCTACATTGGAATATCTAGAAAGGCAGAGAGAGTAAATACTGATTCCTTTCTATGATGTGTTATGGAGAGTTAAATAGTGATATAAAATTCTTCAGTATTTGGAGTCGCTTGAAGTACAGGCAGTAGAGCATGGAGCGTTATCAAGAAAAGAAAAATGCTCAGTTGTGCCATCTGGTGCCTAGAAGTGGTAGCTGGATTAGCATTAGAAGACAGCTAAGAGGCCTTTTCCTTGTGCAAGAAAATGAGCTCCTGTACAGTACTCTTTTTGTCTTTAGCAGTATTACTGTAACACTTGCAACTATGAGGGCTTAATTACTGTAAGAGAGATGTAGCTGCTTTTCTAGCTTCCACGTTCCAGTTACCAAAATGTGCCTCAGTGATGGGGTGAAACCTGTTGGAGAGATTCACTTTTTTGTCTCATTGAAATTTGCTGCAGTTACAGTTAACAGCAGACCTGTGTCACTGATACCAAGAAATGATTTAAGTACAAATGAAAAATTGAACAGATTAATTGACAATTTAGTGAAAAATTTCTTATCTCCAATGTCTTAAACAGTGCAAAATGTTACATTGGAAGATCTCATAAAATATACAGAGTGATTATTAAACTAAGTCTCAATAACTTAATCATCTTGATCAGAAATTTGATTTTTCTGCAAAAATTCGTGGTGTTCAGGTCTGATCAAAGCAAACAGTAAAACTACGACTGGAAAAAAAAGAGCCTGATCTGTCCCTATTGCTCTCCTTCATAAAAACCCCAAACCTGCCGTCAGGTAAAACTTTTACATTTGCAAATGTCCTCATCTGTCCTGGTGCCAGATGCCTTCCTTACATTTGTTATTTTTAATGCAGCAAAAGAAGAAGAATGATAAATCAGCAAACAGGTTTGTGAGTGTCCCCAATCTAAGTGCTCTGGAATCTAGCGGAGTGGTGGGCAATGGACATCCTAACCGCCTGGAGCCCATTCCTAACTCACCCATCCACGATATTGAGTTCAACAGCAGCAAACCACTACCACAGCCAGTGCCACCCAAAGAGCCCAAGACGTTTTTGAGGTGAGCACTGCCTCACCAGTCTTTTTTTTAATTCTTTTTGCTTTTGCTTATGTCAGGAAAATTTTGCATTCCCATTGAGCTGAACCTCACTTGCTTTATGAACCTTTCAGAGGTACAAGTACTCTGATGGCATTTTTAATTTTTACATTGCATTTGTAACCTCTTTATAGTATTCCTTTTTATTGCAGACCTGATTGAAATGTGAAGTATTCTTTCACTTTTTTATAAGTCTTGAACTTGGAAAACCTCTTTAGAGCCTTTAACAGAATTCATGTGCTTCCAGTTGTTTACATATACGAACAATTGTTTTAAATGTTTGTGTTACTTGCTGATTGTCATTCAGGAATTGCACAGAATTTCTGTTATTCAGTATTATGTGATAATGGTTTTTATGTACGAAAACTATTTTATGTGCTATGTGAATGTTTTACGTTTTTCCCCTTTCCTCACCTAGATCAGATTGTTTCATAGGAGTTACTACTAACCTTACTATAGCAACAGGAAACTTCCATTCTTGGATGCTTAATGCCGAGACTCTAGCAATCAAAACTAGCATTAAAGTCTCAAGTAATTCTCTCACAAAATAATATAGTGAGCTGAATAACTTAAAAATGGATTTTTGGAGCCAGGATTTTAATCTTTTGGCTTTATGTGCTTGCATATTAGATACACTGAAGTGCTGCACTCTTATTTAGTGGGTGCTGAACTCTTACCTCTAAGTTGGCAACAAAGCAATGTGTAATTATCAGTTCCATATATGGTTATTTACTCTCTCCTTTGGTTTAATGTGAAAAGCCACATGCCTAGCAACTACATTAGTAAAAGGAAACAAATAATAGAATCTAAAACAGATAAGGGAAAACAATCTATTTCAAGAAAACAATCCTTAAAAGAAAACCAAACAAGTGCTGTTGCTCGTTTTTTTTCCTGAGCATGTGATGTGCATGAGTGTGCTCAGATATCTCTTAACATGCATGTGCATGGACTCGTGGACTGTGATGCCAGAGTTTCCATTCCAAATAGTTTTGTGCTCTGTACTATCCAGTAATAGTAGGAATTATTTTTTTACTGATTTTTATTGATAAAGGAACTTAGCTGTGTAGTTGAATTTCAATTATTCTCTCTTGCTCATTTTGTGACTTTTAAGTGTTCAAGGGGGAACCAAATCTTGTTTTGCAGTGCGGCAGTTTCTCTTTTCCTGGTATTTTAAACGTGTGCATGAACGACGACACAAGTGATATCTGTGATCAGTGTCAAGTATTAAAACTGTGTATTTCTGTTCAGTTGCCAACCAGTCTTTGTGAGCACATGTCTACAAATATGATGCTCGCATCATATTTCTGAAAATGAACTTTACCACAGGAAAAGGATGCTAAAAGAGGACCTTCTGCAGTCACGCTTTTCCAAGAAAGCCCTTTTTGTTCTTTCTGAAACCTACAGCTATTGATGAGATTTTAAATTGTTTTCCAAAACATTCATTGCCCACCCTGTTAATGTGGCTTCCAAACTGACTTGTCTGTGCTGCTGATGCTCTCCAATGGAGTGGATGATCACAGATTCTATAGGGAGACAGTCATGTCCTGAGGCACACTGATAATTAATCCATGGAAAAACAGACTGTGTTCCTTACTGCATATTCACTGTGATTTGGGTTTTTTTTCTCCCAACATTTGTACTTTGTGTGTAGTTGTGGGATAATTGTGTTGTGTTTTTTTTTTCCTTTCTGTAACTTTAGCCCTCCTCAGACTGATGCTTCACCAGTGGCTTCACCAGATCCCCAGCGCCAGGAGTGGCTTGCCCGGTACTTCACGTTCTGAGAGACGATTTGTTTTTGTGGCACAGCGTGATGTGGACTGTTTATAAGAGCATGACCTTAAGTAAACCCCCATGTGAACAAGCATTCCCGTAATTTGTCAAACACTGTGAATGAGAAAGTATTTGTCTTTCTGATTTGAAACTGCACTGTATTTCATGTTATATTTGTTGGAATCACTTGACATGGTACTATATAATGTGTGTAATTATAACTATTATTTTTATTTAAAATGGAAGAATCTTTAAACTTTGTAACTACTACATAATAAATTTTGGTAGAACAAACATAACACTTTCCCCCTTTTTCCTATAAATGTGTTTTCTTTGATTTCAGGTAAGGCTTTTCCCCCCAAAAATAACATAATTGCATGGTTACTATAAATACAATTTAAATTGTTAAAGAAAAGTGTATCTCTCTCTCTCTTCCCCAGTTTGGGCAGGATGTTTAATGCATCCCCATTTATATTCTGTTACTTTGTAGCAGTTTAAAAATTGTCTCTTTTTAACACCTAAGAGGAATGTGAAGTAAAGCCAGGGTAGCTGCTAGCTTTCAGAGCAGAGGGATTTGGAGGAGAGATGAAGACAGCCACAATGCAGAAGCTGTTCATTGGGGTGGGGGTTTGACTCCTTAATCTGCTGCTCATGAGACTTTGCCATCTAGTTATAATCAAACATTTTCTCGTTAAGCAGAAACTGTTTCTACAAGTTATGTATTTCTTTTTTGAATATTAACAAAAACAAACGCCTGTCATATTTCGAATAATGTACCAAGTATCTCTGCATAAATTGAAAATCTACATTTGGAGCAAATAGTCCTGCTTTGGATAAAATTCATGTCTGAAATGAAAGGGAAGAAAAAAGAACAAACAAAAAACCACCCAACTTTTTCCCATTTATACATACTACAGATACAGATCTTTGTTAAAACTTAATTACCCTCCCTTGTCTATATTAAAGTTTTTTCTTCTTCTGAAATTGATATATGGCAATGTTTTTTTCAGCTAGTGAGCATGATTCTCCAATCTACACCTTTCATGATGCCAGTTTTACTCAAGAAATGTGCTGCACCATATAGAAAACTAGAACTTACTGTCTTCTTTTTTTTATATAATTTTTTCATTCAAAGATTACCACAAAATAACTCACACTGGTAGTCTCAGGGAGAAAACTGTCTCTTTGTTTTATGAATGTATTTTTAAGCTGAATCTCTTCATCTTTTAAAAGCAGGAAAAAATGTTCAAGTTATTTGAATAAGATTTTAGCATATACAAAGGTCTGAACTTTAATATTTCATCTGAAGCCCTAACTACATTCTTTTTTTGCTATATGCACAAAGGTAAATACCCAGATTAAGATACTTGCTAATTACAAGGAGTTTTATATTTAGTATATGTATAAATGAAAAATTTGTATGTTTTCATATAAACAATATAAAATCTTCTAAATGAACATTTTAAAACTTACTATTTTAAAACTTTATCTTCTAATTCAGCTTGAAAACGCCACTGAAAGCTGTACTCTGGTGATGCTGCCATGGATTAAAGATGTATACAGCATAATTTCTGTAGCTGGTGGACTCAACTGGAGGTATATGGAACTTTTTAATTTTAGAAGAAAGCCATATTGGGCAAAATGTCAGATTTCTTGGCTGTTACCCAAAATAAAATACACTAGCTCGTTTTGTTATAATGCTCTGGAGTGAGTGTTGTGTATTTTTTCTTGCATGCTTTGCAAGGGCTCAGCCTTTTTCTATCATCCTCCATGTCATTTGTACATTTTTACATACGGAATTAATAACAGTAATGTGAAGATGGTAATATCTGCATTTATTTATTCAGTAAAAGGTATGCCCCTTGGTTTTTTACTAGTAAGCGCTTGCCTTTCGGAAGCGACTCAGTCACTGTATCTGCCACAGTCAGCAGCTGTTCCATTATTGAATCAGGCTCTAAAGACCAACCAAACAAAGGGAGTCCCAAACCAACCAGAAGTAACTAGGAAAAAAAACTTGATTTTCTCACAAATGTTACAGAGAACTCCGTAAAATGTATTCATAAAAAAAAAAAAAAAGTTAATATCTGGCATTTGGGATTGGAGCTGGCATTACTGCAATACCATGGTGTTCCTGGTATTTGCAGTATCTGGTATTCTGGAAAACTCAGCTATGCAGAGTTCTGCAGAGCCTCTGTTCACACATGCATTTGCTCTTTCCTGGCTCAACAGACAACTGAGTAAGGAGGTAAAGAATTATCCTGAAGATGCATAGTATGATTTACAATGGTGGGAAAATCTTTTGGCTCTCAGGAGCTCCCTCTCTGCGCTCTGACACATTAAATCTCATTATCAGCACTTGAAGTAACTAATTCCTTTGACCCTTTACATTTATTGAGAAAAAAAAAACAATAAAAGGTCAAAGAGCAAATAGTAAAGAAAAAAATATTTGAACCTTTGCTGTGTTTTCCTGTGGAAGAAGGAAGTAACAGGCTATACGCAATACAGGGCAGAGAAACAGGTTGCCCAGAGAAGCTGTGGCTGCCCCATCCCTGGCTGAGTTCAAGGTGAGGCTGGATGGGGCTTTGAACAGCCTGGTCTAGTGGAGGAGGCCCTGCGCAGGGCAGGGGGGTTGGAACCAGGTGATTTTTAAGATCAGTTCCAACCCAAACCAGCCTGTGATTCTATGAAAATGCAGAAGAATCCTTCATTTCAGAAGAACAGCATTGTAATAATCAGTCTGTACTTCAGCATATGTGTACTACATTTACCTGAGGCTGCAAGGAAAACACTAGTCCTATGAGAAGTACTGGCAATAAATTACATGGGTCAATGTTACGGAATTTTTAGCATTCTTATTTTTTCTAAATAATTTTTCACTTCTGCTTTTCTCATGATCTGTTATTTTGGAAGAATAAACTTGGACTATTTTCTAATTGGTTTGAGTAGTTCTACATTTAAAATATCTAAATTAAAATTAAATGTCTTAGATTTGTAAACTTTGATCACTTTAGAGTAAGAATACAGATGTATTATAAAACTGAAGTAAATAGAATAGGTTGTTTTTTTTAGGATATACTTATCACCTTTTCTTCCTAAATGTTTCTGTAATGCTGCAATAATTTTGTTTTCATTCTTAGATTGTAATTTTTTCACTCTTGATGTAGGTGGTCTCTGGACTTTATTGCTCTTTGAGACTAGAAAACTCTTTCCAACAAAGGACCTTTTTGATGAGTTGTACTTCAAAACTGAAAGCAGCCGTTTCTTAGGGAAAAAAATGCTTCTGTTCCTGTAACTGAACATGGAGGGATTTTGAACAACAGCCCATGTTGCAGCACTTGCCTTTCTGGTGTGGCAGCTGAAGAACACGGGGGTTCTTTTCTATAAATTGTTAACAAATACACTGCCTCACTAACCATAGCTAGAAAATCACAATGGTAATTTTGGACTAATGGTCACTCACTTTTTTTCAAGTTTTAGTCTTACTCTGAAACTCTATTTAAAAACTGTAGGACATAAGGAATTCCTAATGAATATCAGGAGACTTCACTGTTAATATTAGAAGTCAGACCTGATCATGGTGTCAGAGCAACCCCTTGCTTGTTTAAGGTATAAGTTATATGTGAATTTTGTTACATGATCCCAGTGCTATGTACAGGTAAATGTCACTATTTCTGCATTGAGAAAATGAGACCCCAAGTTTTTCTCCTTTGTGGTAATTTATTTCCTTTAGAAAGGGAATGGCTGAGTCACATCACTTAAGAAAATAGTGATCTTCAACCTCCTCTGCAGTCAACAGACTGCTTCTCTCGTGATTGCATGAAGACTTCAGAGCAGCAACAAATTAAGTGCCTTGGTTGCCTTACATGTAGGTGTGAGGAACCCAGCCAGGAATTTTATTTTTATAATTTTTATTAACCAACATTTGTAAAAATATATCAGCTTTGAAAGATACAACTGACTTTCCTTACAAGAGCTGTGTTGCTTATTTCCTGGTATGTTCAATGTAGTCCAGTACTGTTACTATTCTTCATGGGCAAATGCTAAACCTTTTTTTACTATAATGAAGGCAAATCTCTAATTCATAGTACTGTTGCTCAGCTGATTTTGGGTGTTGGGCATTGTATCAGTTTTACTTAGGTATACATTCCTTAGCAAAAAGCTTTAAATGGAAATATGACTTATTTCCATGTACAGTTACACAGAGAAATCAGCTAATTTACTTTGCAGTGCATTTTGGTCATATAAACACACACATCCGTTTCTTTACATATGCTATAGTCATTGGAAGTACCTGTGGGATCCCAGAACAAAACCAGGCAGACAAACTGAACCAGAACTTTTCAGTGACAGACCACTGAACTCCATTTCTCTCAATGTACCAGCCACCCTGACCACAGCATTAGCAGGCAGTTCTCATACTCTCCTAGGACTCTGCCAAATATATAAACAGGGGGAGTCACCCGGAAGGCCCAGATCGCTGCTCGGGTCAGGCTGGGTATCTGTCAGACAGTGGTGAGCAATTGCACTGTGCACCACTGTTGTTTGTGGGGCTTTTTCTGGTTTATACATTTTCTTTAGTTTCCCTTTTCATTATTATTAGTTGTAGCAGCACAGGTAATATTATACCTTACTGTAATTATTAAACTGTTCTTATCTCAACCATGGGGTTTACTATTTTTCTGATTCTCCTCCCCATCCCAGTGTGTGAGGGAGTGTTTGTGAGTGGCTCCCATGGTATTCAGTTGTCAGCAGGTGTTAAACCATGACAGAGGGCATTTGGTTATTCTCTGTGATACCACAACACTCAAATGGATATATGAAAAACGTATTCAAATATACTATCAGAGGTATTGAGAAAATACATGTAGTAATCCAGAAGACAGCTTACTTACACTGAACTCAGTGGGGGCAAAATTCACACTTAACTGGAAGAGCACACATGCTGCAAAGTAACCAAAGCGAAAAGCAACAGGCATACTTCTGGGGCCACTGGAATCCAGCTCCACTCCATATGCCTGGAACTCAATTTTGAAACAGAATTAATTATTTAAAAGATAAAAATATTTCACATAGTTAAGGCACATCACTGGGTTGTAATACATGCTCAGAGAAAACATACAGATATGAAACTATTCAAAACAACACCACTGTAAATTCCAGACAAAAGCGAAAGCCTCCAGCAAACCCTATTTTCTAGCTACATTAGAAATAAAAATTCCCAAACTCCCCAAGACTTTGCTGTGATCTACCCTCCTGGAGAAGACGGAACTGACTGCTTTGTTAGGCAGCTCGCTTTAAA